CTCCCCTCCTCCCCATCTCAAGGCACTTCCATGCCTCCTCCCTGTCTCCTTCACTGCCCCATTTCACACACTGAGGTGGCCTTGCCTGATGCCAAACCCCTCTACGTGCACAAGTGAGCTCATTCTGGCCTAGCTTGTTCCAGCAGATGGCCTCCCCTATCATCCTGACTCTGTTACTAACCCTCAATGTCTTTCTATGAGCTCCTTCCTTTACTACCCACAAACATGCCCATGGCTCATCCATCTTCAAAAAGCCCTCCTTGAACTGGCCAGCCCCTCTAGCTCTGTTCCTATATCTCTCCTCTGTTTTCTGGCTAAAATCCTTGAGAAGGCTTTCTACAATCTACTTCCTTTCCTCTTATTCTCTTCTTTTCTGACATCTTCATTAAACTGAAAATGTTCTCTCCAGAGTCAAAGTCTCTCCTCTTCCTGACTTCCTTGTTACTGTCCATGGCATGACCATCTTCCCAGGCACTGAGGCTCTAAACCAGTGATGGGGAACTTGGGGCCTCAAGGCCATGTGTGTCCTTCTAGGTCTTCAAGTGCAGCCCTTTGACTGAATCCAAACTTTACAGAACAAATCCTTGCCCTCTAGGTCCTCAAGGATGGCCCTCTGACTGAATCCAAACTTTACAGAACAAATCCTTGCCCTCTAGGTCCTCAAGGATGGCCCTCTGACTGAATCTAAACTTCACAGAACAAATCCCCTCTAGGTCCTCAAGTGTGGCCCTCTGACTGAATCCAAACTTCACAGAACAAGTCCCCTCTAGGTCCTCAAGTGGGGCCCTTTGACTGAATCTAAACTATACAGAACAAATCCTTGCCCTCTAGGTCCTCAAGGGAGGCTCTTTGACTGAATCCAAACTTCACAGAACAAATTCTTGCCCTCTAGGTTCTCAAGTGTGGCCCTCTGACTGAATCCAAACTTTACAGAACAATTCCTTGACTTCTAGGTCCTCAAGAGAGGCTCTTTGACTGAATTCAAACTTCACAGAACAAATCCTTGCCCTCTAGGTCCTCAAGTGGGGCCCTCTGACTGAATCTAAACTTCACAGAACAAACCCCTCTAGGTCTTCAAGTGTGGCCCTTTGATTGAATTCAAACTTCACAGAACAAATCCCCTTAATTAAAGGATTTGTTCTGTAAAACTTGGACTCAGTCAAAAAGCCATACTCAAGGACCTAGAAGGCCATATGTGGCCTGGAGGCCACAGGTTCCCTACCCCTGCTCTAAACTAAGGTATCCTCTTTGACTCCTCACTCTCATCCCCATATCCAATCTATTGCCAAGTCCTATCATTTCTAACTTTGGAACATCTCTCCAATATACCAGCTTCTCTCCTCTGACATGGCCATCCCCTCCCTAGGCCTCAATTTCCTCCTCTGTAAAAATAAAAGGAGGTCCCTCTCAGCTCAAAGATCTTAGCTGTCACCTGGGATGAGTTATTTCCCCTCCATGGGCCTCAGTTTCCTCCTCTGTAAAATGAAGGTTGGGCTAGTTGACCTCTGAGGTTCAAGTCTATGGTGCTATGAGCCTGTGTAACATTGTGCATTATAGTTACATGGTATCACAGAAGCAACAGCACTACCTGACACGATCTGAAACCACGTCAAGACTGAATTGGGACAAGGAGGCTAAGGCTTAAGCCATAATTTAACTTCCAGGCCCAAGTACAGAAGACCAGGAGTGGGGAGCTTCTGGCCAAGACACCAACATGGCCAACCCAGAGGCAAGGAAACTGCACCCAACTGAATCAATGCTGCATCCTTGCTGAATAAGTAAACTTCTTTTTGTTAACTGATATATGGGTATGCGTGTCTGATTTTGTCCCAGTCCTAAACCTGAACTTGGGCTGATCTGAGTCAGGCCTGGCCTATGTCACCTGGGTTTATTGATTGATTGTCCCCCTTCTATAGCATAATCATGATCTTTTTCATGATAAAAATAGCATGTATATAGCACCTACTATGTGCCAAGAGCTTTCCAATTATTAGCTCATTTTAGTATAAGCTCTGTGAAGGCAGGACTCATGTCATACCTAAGTTGTGTGGGCTCTAAAGAAATGTTTATTGAGCAAATGAAGGAATTGTGCACAGCGGCATTCAAAGGCAGATACAAAACAATGCAGGTGTATACTGACTGCAGAGGAAGGAAGGAAAGAAGAGGGAGGGAGAGAGCACATGTGACCTTGGGAAAGTCCCTCATCTCTCCATAACTTGTGAAATAAGAGACATAGTCTAACTGGCTCCCCACCCCTGCTCCCCCCACGGTGCTCCGCAAACAGCTAGAGCTGGACAAACATCAGGAAATGGACCAGATGATCTCTACAGGTCTGGAAGTCTAGGAATGAGAGGGGGAAAGAGGAGGGAGAAATGCAGGACAGGAAGTGCAACATCAAGAGAGGAAGGGGAGAAGTCAAGAGTTACCCCTCTGCCAGAGGACACGGGAAAAGTGGCCCTGGGCTGGGTGCACTTGGCAAAGCCTCAGGCTCAAACTGCTAGAGAGACTTTGCTCCACCCTGGGAAATTAGCATCCTGTCCAAGGAAGATATAAACAACAGGTGAGAGTTTACATGCTATTCTTTTCTGGTCAAAGTACAAGAACGCTGCACTTGCATCTCCTTCACCTGGAACTAGGCAGGCCCAGCCAAGAAAAAGGACAAGTTCCGGAGCTCCCATTCTAAAACACAACAGCCAATACTTATTGGGGGGCTCCTGCATGCCAAGCCCTTTCTGTCCACTCACAAAATGCCCTGTGGCAGGCACTTAGCACCTCATGCCTGGACTATTGCAGTGGCGCCACACTTGGCCTTCCTGTCTCAAGTCTCTCCTCATTCCAGCCCTTCCATCTTCGACTCAGCTGCCAAATGGATTTTTCCCAAAGCTCAGGTTTGAGCTCACTAAACTTCAGGGGCTCCCTATTACCTCCAGGATCAATTAAAATATCTTCTGTTTGGCGTTCAAAGCCCTTCCCACCCTGGACCCCTTCTAACTTTCCAATCTTGTATTTGATACCTGTCCACAAACTCTGATCCAGCTACAACAGCTTGCCTACATGCAGTTCCTCAAATATGAGGTCCCATCTCCAGACTCCCTTTGTACTTGTTGTCCCCCATGCCTGGAATGCCCTCTCCCGCCTCACCTTGACTTTCCGGCTTCTTTCAAAGCTTAACACAAATTCCAGCATAGACTGTTGGAGTCGGGAGGAAGCTTGGAACACAGAATATTAGAAGTGGAGGGGCCTCAGGACAGAGAATGTCACAGCTGGGAGAAATCTTAGAATACAGAATGTCAAAACTGAAAGGTACTGTAAAACAGAGAATATCAGAACTGATCGGTGTCTTCAGGACGTAGGAAGTCCCAGCTGAGAAGGCCGTTAGCAGACAAAATCAGAGCTGGGAGGCACCTTAGATCATAGAACAGGAAAGTTTTAAAGCACTTTGATAATCATGGAGCTAGAAGAGACTTTACAGATGAGTAAACTGAGTCTCACCATGTAGAAATGGGTTTCCCAGGGCCAGAGAGCTAGTAAGTACCAGCTATGAACCTGGATCTTCTGGACTCCATAACCTGTACTCTATCCACTAGTGGGGGGTAAGGGGGGAAGGTAGTATGAAAAAAAGGACCTTCTAGGTCCTTGGGTATGGCCTTTTGACTGAGTCCAGGTTTTACAGAACAAATGCTTTTATTAAGGGGATTTGTTCTCTGAAGTTTGGATTCAGTCAAAGAGCCAAATTTGAGGACCTAGAGGGGATTTGTTCTGTGAAGTTTGGATTTAGTCAAAGGGCCACACTTGAGGACCTAGAGGGCCACATATGGCCTCAGGGCCGCAGGTTCCCCACCCCTTCCACTATGCCCTATTGCTTGGTACAAATGGCAGAGGAAATTGAGCTCCAGAGACTTGCCCAAGGGGCCCTTGTGCCTGGCTTCATCCAGTACACCTCAGCTGCCAGCAGCATCCCAACCCAGGCCTTGGCCCACCAAACCAGACTGACTCTTGGCAGTCTCTGGACCGTCTGTGCCGTGACTGGCTCACTCAATGTGGAAGTGTTCAAAGTCAGCTCTTCAGAAGCCACATATCCTCATATTACCAGTTTTAAAACCACATCAAAGTAGAACTCTGACACGGGGCTGGTTGGGGGTTTTTAAATAGTTTAAGTGGTTATACCACACTCTTTCATACTCATTACCTCATTGGCCTCTGGAGGGGTGGGGGGGAGAGCAGGACTGGAAGTTCCCAGGAAAAATTCAAGCTCATAGGCCAGAGAAAATGGCACCTTCCAGCTCACTGGCCTTGAAAACTTTGGCTGAGGAAGAAACTGAGGCCCAGGGAGGGGAAGCCAATGTGGAGCTTTCAGTTTAGAATCTGAGGAGCTCCTCAGGCCTTGATTCCCAGCTCTGATCTCAGGCAAGTGACTTCACCACCCTTAGCCTCAGTTTCCTGACTCCTAAGGTCAGCTTTAAATCTCTGGGGCCCATCAAGTCACATGGGTAGTAACAGAAACCAAATTATCACCCAGATCCCAGCCAATGAGGGTTTTGTTTTTTTTCCATTGCCGCAACATCATGAGTCAGATCATTTTACATAGGAGGAAACTGAGGCCCAGAAAGGGGAAAACAACTTGCTTGAGCTCGAAGGGCTAGTAAGAGGGGCAGGGCCGGAATAGGGACAGTCTCCAAACCTAATGCTTAAGTTTGCCCTGCCTTAGGACAGGAGTCATCTGGTCCAAGCCCTTTATTTTAAAGAGGGGGAAACTAAGGCCCAGGGAGAGGGAGGGTCTTGCCCAAGCATACAAAAAGGGCAAGAATTTGCACCCAGATCCTCAGGCTCTGGATGCACTTGCCCTTGCCACTGAACTCCATGCCACTGTGCCCTCTGGGTGCCAACAACTTAGACCTTGTTTGCCTTCTGTAGGGGTAGCGGAGAGAGGAAGGGTGAAGGGAAGGGGAGGGGAACGGGAAGGGAGAGAGAGGAAGGGGCCTACAAAGGAGGGGGCTTACCTGGCCTCCTGGGCCTAGCCCTCGGCAGCCTGGGGGAAGCCAGGCTCACGTAGGCCACGGGGGTCCCAGAGGGGAGCCCAGGCCTTCTCCTCAGGCCCAGGCCCCAGCCCCGGCCCCTTCCCCGGCCCGGTTCAGAAAGTGTTGGGGGCCTTTGGGATTGGCCCAACCTAGGCCGAGATCCTGGCAGGGATTCCCAGAGGCCTGGGCCGGGGCCGGCCGGGGCCCAGGGGCGGGGCCAGGGGCCGGGGGCGGGGTTCAGGGGCGGGAGCGGGGCGTCTTTGTTATCTGGGCCGAGAGGAAGGGGTTAGGGAGGAGAGAAACACGCCCTGAGGAGAGGAACAGCAGCCCAGGCCCCATCCTAGGCCGCCAGCAGCTGGGCCAGCCCCCAGCCACTGGGCCCCCTCCCTCACGCATTAGCCAGCAGGAGAAATAGACTCCGTGTGTCCCCACCCTCTGTACGGCTGCCCTGTCTCTTGCTCTGGTGCATAACACAGGAGACAGGGCTGGGAGGGCCCTTACAATAGCATATGTGGAAGCTGGGAGGGACCTAAGAACATGGAATATCAGAGCTGAGAGGGACTTTAGAACATAGAATGCTGGAGCTGAGAGAGGCCTTAGAACAAGGAATGTCAGAGCTGGGAGGGGCCTTAGAACAGGGAATGTTCGAGCTGGGAGGGCCCTTAGAACAGGGAATGTCAGAGCTGGGAGGGCCCTTAGAACAGGGAATGTCAGAGCTGGCAGTGGCCTTAGAACAGGGAATGTCAGAACTGGGTTGGGGCCTTAGAACAGGAAATGTCAGAGCTGGGAGAGGCTTGTCAGAGCTGGGAGGGACCTTAGAACAGGGAATGTCAGAGCTGGGAGGGGCCTTAGAACAAGGAATGTCAGAATTGATGGAGACCTTAAAACAGAAAATGTCAGGGCTAGGAAGGGCCTTAGAATATGGAACATCAGCGTTGGGAAGAATCACAGTGTCAGAGCTAGAGAGACGTTAGAACCTGGAACAGCAGAACTGGAAGGCACTAGAGAGATCACCTATTTTAACCCCTTCATTTTTCAAAGGCGGCAACTGAAGCCCAGAAGAGGGAAGTCACTTCAATCAGATCATAGATTTGGAGCTGGAAAGTACCTTAGAGCCGTCTTCTGGTCTGAACACCACGAGAACCAAGGCCATTAAGTCACTCAGCCAGATCCCACAGTAATAAATGACAAAGGAAGATTTGGAAGCCAGGCCCTCTTGCTCAGAACCCAACGCTCTTCCCACCGTACCTCCACCAACTAGCAAATGAGCCTTGAATCTCCAAGGCTCAGGGCCTGAGGCCTACTGCCTCTCCCCCAATAACTGCACTTCTACCCTCCCAGGCTGCCTCTTCCTGCCTTCCTGCTACTTCCTCTAACAGGCTGTCAGGCCTGGCACGAAACCGTGGGGCGATAGCAGCCTAAGCTCTTCCTTTAAGGGAGCTCCACAGGCCCCCATTGAAAAACCAAAAACAGCCAGAAGGAAAGAGAGCTGGACTCTATACAAGTCAGGAGACCTGGTTTTGCTGCTTACTAACTAGTACATTGGGTGGCCTTGGCCAAGTCACTTACCTCTAGACCTCATGCTTAATATAAGGCTGTCAGATTTGCTGGTCACTTCAGTGTTGGTACGCTATATTGTTGTCCTCTACCCACCTAGCAATCTATTTAAAGGCCCCCAAATGGGCCTCTCACAAGGAAGCAGCGTGTAGAACCAGAAAACACATGGGACAGGAAGGGTTCTGGTTCCACATCTTTACTAGGGCATGACCTTGAGCAAGTCACTTATCTCCTTTCTGGGCCTCACTTTCCTCATCTGGCAAATGGGAGAGTTGGATTAGATCTGGGGCTCTTAATCTTTTGTGTTAAGTCCCTTTTAGGCCTCCAGAAGTCTGGTGAAGGCTATAGATTTCTTTTTAGAATCATGTTTTTAAATAAATTCCTAACTGAAGGAAAAGCTGTTTCAGTTGGAGGTTTGTGGCAATCAATGTAATTTTTTTTCCCATCCAAGTTCACAGACCCCCTGAAATCTATCCAGAGACCCCTTGGGAGGGAGATGGTTAAGAAACCCTAGACTTGGCTCCCTTCAAACTGGAATATACTCTGTTCTGGATGCTAAGGATATGGGATGTCAGAGCTGGGATGGGGCCTTAGAACAGGGCATATTTGGCTCCAACTTTCTGGATCCCAAAGTCCCTTTCAGATCTCCCAAGGTGTCTCCCTGCAGTCTGAATGCATCTGAGGTGAAAGGAAGTCTCTGTCAAAGGATAAAAATTGTCCATTCCAAAAACTGCTGAAGTCCTGACCAGAAGGTTGGAAAAGCCTTAGGAAATCATGGGGCACATTGATTGAAGAAGGGAAGGAGAAGGATGAGGTCTCAAAAGCACCAGAGAGAATGCCCTAAGCTGGCTCACTAGTGAGAGAAAGGAAGGGCTCAGGAGAGGGAAGGTGGGGGCCCAGAACCCAGCCTCCATCAGTGTTCTTACTTGTTGAAGAGGCGTCCCAAGCTAGGAGCAGCTGCGGTCCTGGAGGCTGGCCTCACACACTGACTTCTTGTGACTTGAGAGTCTGAGGCATGGCCTTGGGAGGAGAATGGGCCAAAAGCACGGGCCAGGCGAGCAAAGTCTCTGTCATAAAGCTCTAAAGGCGGCCTGGTGTCCTTGGAGACCTGGGAGCTGACCTAGGCTTGGGCCTCCCGGCTTGGGCCTCCAGCCATAGCCAAATGGGAACCCCTCAGCAAGATGGGAGGAGGCAGGCCTACACGTCATCATCCTGGCTGTAGACACCCCCTTCTACCATGAACCTTGGAGCACAGTAGCCCCGAGCAGGAAGGTGGGAACAGGATTCATTAAGCTGGGGTCCAAGTCCAGCCAGTAAGGATTTTATTGCAGGGAGGGGAAGGAATGAGACTGTGACTCACAGAAGCCAACAGGAGACAGGTTATAGACCTCCGGGAACCATCAAAGGGCCAGGCTGGGCTTTCAAGCAGGTCTTTAGTAATCACTGGGGGGCAGCCCCACCTCCCTGCCAGCTGTGGTCACATTTCAAGCAGTGAGAACGGAGGAAGCTGCTAGTGTTTAGATGAGCCCTGGTCTGCAATTCAGAGTTCAGATCCATCCATCCATCCATCCATCCATCCATCCATCCATCCATCCATCCATCTCCCCTTAAAACCTTTAAAAATGATATCATAATGATGATGATGATGATGATGATAATAATAATAATAATAATAATAATAATGAATGCCCTCCTTCCTCCACTCCTCCTACTGACCTCCATGGCTTCCTTTAAGTCCCAACTAAAGCACCTTCTTTTACTGGAGATTCCTCCACCCCCTCTTGTTTCTAGGGCTTTCTCTCTCTTAATTATTCCCTACTTGTCTTCTCTATTTAGCTTGCTTTGTATGTATTGGTTTGCATGTTTTCTTCCCCATTAGATTGTAAGCTCCTTGAGGGCAGGGACTGTCTTCTGCCTCTTTGCATCTCTAGCAGTAGCATAATGCCTGGCACAGAGGAGGCGATTAATAAATGTTTGTTGCTTGAATTGTTACACAGTGCTTTCCATACCCTTTCCCATGAGCAAAGTGGTGAAATAGTGAACTATGCCTTTAAAAGAAAATCAGACAGACCTGTGATTTTATTTATCTAAGGACCTGCAGGATGAGGAAACTCCCTCCACTGATGCAGATCACCAACTGCTTTTCAACTTATAGTCTTACAGACCTGCCTGGGGTACTGAGAGGTTAAATGATTTACCCAGGGTCACCTGTATCAGAGGCAGGATTTAAACTCTGGTCCTCCTGGCTACAGTTCAGCTCTTTAACTGCTACGAGGCCATGTGCAGTCATCTTGACCCATGTCTTGCCGCTGGACCCCAATGACTCTGGAGGAGAGAGTGAGGCTGATGACTTTGCACAGCCCTGCCTCACTTAAATCCAATTCGCTTGCAAGTCAAGACATTGCCCTCTTGATGTCATGGTCCTCTTCAAGAATGAAAGATACTGCTTCTAAAATAAGCCATAGAAACCTTTAAGGGCTAGGGAAATGGGAGATAGTACTGTTGGGATGATAGCAATATACCTACCAATCCTATTTTACAGATTCCAGGGCCCATTTCCCTGTGCCCACTAAAGGACAAAGTCTCTCTTTGAGATACCTGAACTATTGTCCACTTTAAATCCCAAGTTCTTAATGCCCATCAATTGGGGAGTGGCTGAACAAGTTGTGGGATGTGATTAGAATGGAATACTATCGTGCTATAAGAAATGATGAGCAGGATGCCCTCAGAAACACCAGGAAAGACTTGCACGGGCTGATGCAAAGGGAAACGTACTATGTACAAAGTAACAGCAATATTGTAAGATGATCAGTTCTGAATGGCTTAGCCATTCTTAGCAATACAATGAACCAAGACAACTCTGAAGGACTTAGGATGAAAAATGCCATCCATCCCCAAAGAACTGATGGTGTCTGAATACAGATTTGAAGCATACTTTTTGTTTTTACTTTCATTATTTTTCTTGAGGTTTTTTTCTTGTCTATGTTTTCTTTCACAACATGACTATTATGAATATGTTTTGCATGACTACACATGTATAGCCTATATGGAATTGCTTGCCTTTCAATGGTGGTGGGGGGGGTGGAGGGAGGAAGGGAGAGAATTTGGAACTCAAAGTGTTAAAAACAAATGTTAAAAATTGTTTTCACACGCAACTGGGGGAAAATAAAATACTAAATAAAGCTAAATAAATAAATAATTCCCAAATTCGTGTTCATCTTAAAGACCAGATTGGGTCAGCTCATGAGCAAACATTCATTGCCCACCTACTATGTTCGGGGTCCTTGCGTTGTTGGGCATACAAAGAACAAGGAAGCAGGGCCTCTGACCTGTAGCTGACTGATTGAAACAAGTAGAATCCAAGGGAGATCACCTGCCTATGCCTCAGAACCAGGAAAACTCCAGTTCAAATCCCAGATGGGATGATGACTGGTGGTGGGACCCTGGGTCAGTCACTTCAACTGCCAGTGCCACCCTGGGCAGCTCTCTACAGACCAGAATTGTAGAGCAGATGCCAATCTTCATTGAGAGGGCTTCTCTGCCAAGGAGATCACCAGGCCAAAAGAAAAAAAATGTACCAGGCATTGGGATTTAAAAAAAAAATTTGGTAGAGGGCTCTCCCTGGGCCC